CGCGAACGAAGTCGCGGGCACAGATAGTTATCTTATAAATGTCTGAGAGTTGCTAATAATTGATATCGTTTTCCAAAATGTACGTGATTACATTATTAATCTCTATATAGAGCAACACGCAAGTTTCTTGCTCATTCCTCTTGTGATGAGACAACTTTCCGAATGAGCGGTAGATTAAAAGAATGATAACTATGACTATTCAAAAGTGCTTAATTTAAGTTTATTTGAATAAATTATTTTCTATTCTATTCTATTAGTCTTTACTCATACGGTACTTGTGCAAAATAATACTCGCATGAATTAACGCAGAGTACAATGAAGCCAACAGTACCTGAATCCTTGTACATATATAATAGATGCGGGAGATAGATATTCGCTTGCAGGCGAGTGCCGTATCGACATTAGGCAGATGGGAAGGTTTAGTAAGTGGGTCAGGTGGGCGAGTGTGGGTCAGGCCGGGGCCGCGGCGCCGCTCCGTGCATGTACAGGGGCGCGGGAGCGGGGCTCCGCTGTATCTGGGTCAATGGTAGCGGAGCGGCACGCCGCCGCCTGCACTCGCAGCTCGCTGCGCGGCGGCGCTCCATCGAACGGACGCACCCGTGGCGGAGCACCCCGCCAACACTCGCTACTAATGCACTTCTCACACCCTACCCCTCACCCGATTATAACAAAACAGTTACAGTTGTTACAGTTGCATTGTTGTAGTATTTTAACATCTTATTGTAATCGGTACTAATATTATGAATGAAAAAAAAAACAATACACAATAAAAATATGTTATTTATTTATTTTTAAAACATACAAATATTATAAAGTTTTGATTCGAGAAAGAGAAGTCTGACAAATTCGATTTTGTAATACAACTTATGCTAGTTAAAACATTATGAAATAAAACAATGTAATATTCAATATTACCATTTAAAAATGAATCGTGCAATCAGTATGGAATAATGTTACATACAATAATAGCACGGTTTAAAAGTATTTTGTTTATGAGTCCACTGCCACATATTTATGTTTATATGCATACTAGCTGCACCCGCGACTTCGTCCGCGTGGAATTTAACTTTATTTTCTAAATTAAAAGTAGCCTAAGTTACTCCTTATTACATCAGTTACCTGCCAATAAAAGTCCCGCCAAAATTGGACCAGCCATTTCAGAGATTAGCCGAACAAACACACAAAAATTGTAAAAAAATGTTATTTTGGTGTATGTACCGTATTTATATTATTATATGCATATAGTAAAAAACGGTTATTTCAATATTACAAACAGACACTCCAATTTTATTTATGTTTTATATGTATAGATTACCATTAAAAAATGAAACGTGCATTCAGTATGGAATAATGTTACATACAATAATAGCACGGTTTAAAAGTATTTTGTTTATGAGTCCACTGTCACATATTTATCTTTATATGCATATAATAAAATCGTAAATTCGTGACGAGGCGAAAATTTTGTGTGCCGACGATTCCTATAAAATGTGACAATTTTATATAAATTTTCAATACGTCACTTGCAATGTAGGTTCGTAATGTAGACTCGAGAATCCGTCGAAGCTGAAAATCGCGAGTCCATCAAGTGTAGACGACACTTGATGGACTCGCGATTATACTTAATAGTGTACAATTTTGTATTTATAGTTTTGTGTTTAAAAATCTTATTACACACGCGGCAAAATACAACACTTTATATTATAAACGCAATATATTGTGAAAAAAAATATTTACTGGACGTATTCAATGTAATTTAGTTTACAGATAGATCATACTCCAGATTAACATACGATACTTTTCATCCGACTTCACTCGGGTAGAGTCAAAAATTTTAAATCCAAAAATCATTTATTCATGTACGAAATTTTAGCCGCTTATGAACGTCAAATTTTTTATATTATATTTTTATTGTTTGTACGGAATCGACAAAAATGTATTTTTATGCTTTATAATACGACAGTAATGGATAAACTAGTATCTATACGTAAATTTGAAAATTCTGTTGTGGAAATGTCGTTTAAAGCTTTAAAACAAAATGATAAAATAAAAGGTTCCGTTTAAACAAATCGGTATCGCAAGTACACCACTACCCCGCTGTAGGTGGTAACATTATTTGAAAATTTGACATTTACACCTATCAATTTAGTCATCGGGATTAAAAACAGACTATAGTGCGGAACTCAATAGTAGATAATGTGAAATCTCACCATCACAATACCGTCGATGGATTGGTATTGACATCAGAAGTTTTAGTTGATCATGCGCACGGCTACTGTATTAGAGGGGTGACATGAAGGGGATGGAACGTTTGCAACATGTTTACACTAAACAGGAACCGAAGTAGCTGGAGTAGAACGTGCATTAGCTTGTTTACTCGTAACTCCTCGTGGAGATGAAGCGGCACGAAACGAGAAAGGTGCGGCTGCGGCCGACTGTGTACACAAGTCGGCCGCCATGTAGGCACCCACTGGAGCTACCCACCTACGGTGCAAGTACGTTGTACCTAATATCCAGTGGATGAAATAGCAATAAGTTTGAAAGTAAGAAAGTAATAAATCCGAAAATGTAAACTATGGAATTAGTATATATATGTATAAATATATATATATATATATATATATATATATATATATATATATATATATATATATATATATATATATATGTATAAGCCTGGAAATTGACATCCGGGAAGAAAGGTAAGGAAAAAAAAATATCCAGTGGATATAATCCGTAGATAGAAATCATATAACCAGCTCAACTGTCATACTCGTGAACGGGTGCAGCCACATGTGCGATTGGCACATCTGATTTATCATATTGCTAAACTTACAATTATTTCAGTACTAGTAGCTAGTATTACTAGCTTTCTTCTGCGACTAAAACTGGCTTTAAATAGGCTTAAAAAAATACAATTGAGTTTCTTGGCAGTTCTTCTCAATAGCATCTATATACTGAACTGGACGGTAGGGAAAAAAATATGATATAGAAAATTTGATGTTCATAAGCGACTAAAATGTCCTACATGAATAATTGATTTTTTAATTTGAATTTTACATCGTTGTTTGTTCCATCATCATCCATTGACATTACGATTTGAATCAAGACCAGATTTATTGCATTCATTTCACGTATTTTGCTTGCGCGAAACATAAATTGGGCATAATTAAAATGTTATGTCATTATGAGTAGCGCTAAGTATTTTTCCTTGGAAAGTTTGTTTGGTGTAGTGCAGCGTGACCTACACTAACATCGTTTAAATTTTGTAAATATTTGAATTAACGCTTCTTTCCGCTGTAATACAGGTAGATTTGATCGAGTGGAGTGGTTTTTTTTTATTTTAACAAATATATATTTCCTAAAGATAATAGCTTCAGTGCATCATCATCATTACATAGTATAAAACAATGTCGCTGTCGCTGTCCGTCCCTATGTATGCTTAAATCTTTAAAACTACGCAACGGATTTTGTAGCGGTTTTTTTAATAGATAGAGTGATTCAAGAGGAAGGTTTATATATATAATACATGTACACCCGTGCGAAGCCGGGCTGGGTAGCTAGTATAATATGAATAACAATGATGAATTCAACATTACAATGGTAATACGACTATAGTTGAAATATTAATGTTAATTATTTATGTACCGTATAGACAATAATAGTGAGGTATACGTGATTTATTGTTTAGAAGTTTAGAAGGTTGTGTCATGCGAAACACAGTTTTTTCACAAATAAAATCTATCGTATGTATTTATCAGATGTCTGTCACCGCGACCTCCGTAACTAATAACTTTATCTGGGCCTTAGTTCATGCACAAGTTATAACTCCATAAAAATGTTTAATAATTTTATTTGTTTTAGATATAGTATTATATATACATATATATAAAAATTACGTGTCACGTTGTTTGTCCGCGATGGACTCCTAAACTTTGAGTAGTTGCAAATTTGATTTGCACATTGTGTGCGATATGATCCAACTTAAAAGATAGGTTAGCTTACATTTCAGTTACACTCTGTTTATAATCGCAATATTATTTTATTCAAGAACCTCAGCCACAGCAACGCGTTGTCTGCTAGTATATTATGCTTTATTTGTAATATACAATGAAAAACAATATATTAAAGAACACGTATATAATTACAATAAGCCGGCCTTATTGCTAAATGCAATCTTAAGCAGTTTTATTTTTAGGTTTAGGCTAGGCTAGGTTTTCCTAACACAGATTCCGTTACATTCTCTTATATTGTTATATTTATTTATGTTCATTGTTAAAACAATTTTGTGAATACTAACAATGGAATGGAATAAATAAATGTATCTAAACCTAAGGTTAAAACTGAATGATGTCACCACATAAGTCACATGTTCATTGATTGTTCAATGAGTGAGCATCTTTTATTTTCCATAAGCCCATACATATTCTGACGTCCACACAATATCTGTATATTCATACTGCTCACCGTTACATTTAAGTAAACAAAAATCAAACGAACGGCCCGCTAAAGTGGAACTGTGCGAACTACCGCCTCACACGACGTGCGTACAATGTATTATTTTTTCCTGTCATATATCAAATTATTTGCTCTTTATGAGGGTACAAACTTTCTGAATGAAATTAACCAACAATAGAATAGCATTGGTAATGTTTTAACTCTCGTTAATTAGTTTATATTCACACATTTGAACAAGTTTGTTATACAACAATTATTTAAAGCAACACGCAAGTTTCTTGTTCGTTCTTCTTGCGATGAGTCAGTTTTCCGAATAAGCGATGGATTAAAAAAAAAGTTATTGAAAGGTGCTTAATTTTAAATTTATATCAATTTGGAATTTTCTCTTTTATCTATTAGACTAGTAGCTAAAAATGTAGGTGGTGCATGAAGCGAGTGGGTGGAGAACGAACCTTTGTAGGTCATATCAGGGCAGTTTACATCTGCGCGCATGTCTATATCAATAATTGTTGTATAGTGAAAATCACACAGAGGATACATAGTTAGGGCTGCAGAGGTAAGGGAGGTGGCGGGTAGAGGGGCGGGCGGCGGGCGGGGGTGTGGCACAGCGGGCCGGGTTCGTCGACCCCAGGGCGGTGGGGTCGTGCCGCGCCGGGCTCACGGGCGCTGAGCGGTGACCCGAGCTGGGCATAGACGCCGCACCAGCGTGCAGGCACCCGGCCACCGCTCGCAGCTGCCGGGACCTGCAGCGCGGTCACTCACTCCCACACGGGGGAGTCAATAAACTTGCAATACACGCTAAAACATCGCCCGATACACCCGCCCCGGACCGAGTGCATTGCCTTACACCATTGTTGTTACTGACTAGTTTGTTAGTGAATAAACCATTGCAGGTAATAAATTCAAATTTAAAATATCTTTATTCATGTAGCTCTATTACAGACTCTTATGATATGTCAAAACTACTGTCAGTTCGGGATGATTTCGAGATGAGAACTGACAAGAAGCTGAGCGCGTATTCTTTTCAAATGAATGTTCTCTTCTTTTCAAGTAGTTTTTGTTGTTACCTACACGTACTCGTTCGTTCGCCCACTTGTACCCGATGTGATTCACTATATATATATCTGTATGTACGTACGTACGTAGTGCACGGTATACGTATCAAACGACTATTTCTACATCGGTATCAGTGTGTTGTTTACATTTCATTTCTTTAAAATACGAGTACACAGTACACAGTCTCTTTTCTATGATCGAAGTTCATCGTTCAGTATGCGGATTACTGTTAACTGATCGAGTGGGTACTACCGAGTTATTTACGCAGTGAATGAAATGTACAGATATATATAGCGTACTTATATAATGTTATTGTATCAATGACCAGCATCAACTTATCATAATCTTATTTCAATTAATTTAATACACTTTTTAACACAGGACTCTAACATCAAATGTTAAAGTGTATTGTGTGTATTTGCCAGTTCTTTTTATATATTACTAGCTGATCCGGCAAAAGTTGTTTTGCCTTAAAATTAAAATAAAAAATTAGGGGTGGACTACCCTTAACATTTAGGGGGATGAAAAATAGATGTTGGCCGATTCTCAGACCTCAATACGCTCACAAAATTTCATGAGAATCGGTCAAGCCGCTTCGGAGGAGTATGGGAACGAAAACTGTGATACGAGAATTTTATATATAAGATTATATATAAAATCAAAGACTGTTGTCTGTTGACATATGCGAATATATTTCAATTGTTTTATAATATTTTTATACAAACAAGGTTTTAAACATGTATTAAATTCATTTAAACGAGAAATCTCAAAACTGTGAATACTCTGTAGACACTAGTCGGTAGTTCCATGGACTACTACCTATATATGGTTGGATCAACTTGAAATCGTCTCATAAACTCGAGTGCTGCAGTGATCCTAACATGAACAATTAGTATGCGGGAGTGGGTGTGGGTAATGTGAAGAGACGAGGGTGTCTCCGGCGGCGACCTTGCAGCGGTAGCGCCAAGGTCCCGGCGGGCGGGCGTCGACCCCGCGGCCTCGCTATCGACCGCCGCCGCGCCGCGCCACGTCACGCGACCAATCACTAGTTTTTTTTTATGGATAATGGAATGGAGTACCCGCCTGTGCTAACGGTTTACTCTAGCGGGGCACCAGTGGAGGATGATAAGATGGTCAGGGGGGCACCAGTGGTCAGTCAGTTAGCTCATCGTGACAAATTCACCAAGAATTTATCACAATGGTTTCCAGGGGGAACTGAATGGACCTGACGTGGTGCATTGCTAGTAATGGGGACTTTAATCTACATTAATAACAATCCTCTTTCCCCTCTTCCAATCACTAGCTCGTCCCGTCATCAGCACGTCACACATCATATTAAACCACTAGTTGTGATGACGACTTACACCCTGATACCGGCCACTGATGGTTCAGGGAGAGAACCCTAAGTAGTTCCCAAGACTTGTGACACGGGTGTAGGTTTAAAGGGCCCTTATAGAATGCATTAACACTCACCTTCACTACTTGTGGTATCCTACCAGACACAACTGATAAACCCCCCAATACCTACCATATTCATAATTACATTTTTTTTTTATAATAATAAACATTCCAACCTTTCGCTCCAAAAACTCGCGCTACGTCATTTTAATCCATCCATCTGTCTACATGTCAATGTCACAAAGATTATTTAGACTCTGATCTCTGCCGTTCCGTCTCAGGTTAGTCTGAAAGCATTATATAAAGAAACATGATTATTGACTTTACAATTTTTAATTAGTGGTGCCTCACACAATAGTTAACAATCACCAGCACCACACGATGATAATCATTATATTATGTAGTCGTCGGGAGGCCGGTACTGATGACGCTCCACGTTGAATGGTGGAGTGGATGCGCGCACGACAGTTTCTATTGTAAACGCATACAACTTAAACAAAGTTACGTCAATTTAATATTGTCGATGATGCACGTGGTCGGTACATATCATTTTTTTGTATCCGACTTATTATTTATCTATTTATTGACAACAACGAAGTGAGCCTTACAGCTTCCCAATATGCTCACTTTGGAAAAATTATACAAAAATATGAAATATTAATAATTAGAAAAATAATATATATTAAAACAATAATAACCTACAATTTTACGAATTATTTAGGTAATCCATTGCCATTCTGCTAAAATTCAACAAGACACGTGTATATATGTCCAGGTTAGGAAATCGATTAACGACACCGTTGAGTAGACTCGGTGTAAGAGTATCGGAAGCCTGCTTGGCCAGCTCTGTTCTTCTCCAAGAAATTGAAATAAGTGCCTTCGACGTGCTTGTACATAATTATTGAGCGCATTACATTTTATTATACAAACTAGTAGAGCCGGCCACGCGTTGTTGTGGCTAATGTTAAATAATATTGCGAGTATAAATTGAGATGTAAGCTATCCTATCTTTCAAGTTGGATCAAATTGCACACAATATGCAAATCACATTTGCAATCGTTTCAGTAATTTAGGAGTCCATCGCGGACAAACAACGTGACACGTAATTTTTATATATAAATATTTTATTAAAGTTTAGTCTGTATTCTCTATCTTTCTCTCTTTGTATCTTGACATGGAATAGAAATAAGTACTGTACTTAGGCCTATAAGGCCAATGTCCAGCAGTGGACGTCTTGCGGGCTGCGATGATGATGATGATGATGATGATGACTGTACTTATGTCCTGCAGTGACGAAAGGACGGTTCAACTGTCCGCGCCCCGCCGCTAGATGGCACTATACAGAGTAAGTTCAATCCGATGATGTGATTCACATCAAATATGCCTAGCTACTCGTTGCTAAAAACATTTGTATTTGTCTCGAAGAAAACACATTAAAACGTGTTTTTCGTAAGTCCGCATCCCAACCTCATGCTTCACTGGTGCCCCGCCAGTGTAAACCGTTAGCGCAGACAGCTGCACATTTCCATTTAAAAAAATATCGCAGCAGTACAATAATTGAACTAGCTATGTTTGATGTATGGACCGGTATGGAAACGACATACAGGTGAACACTCAAATTAAAATTCAAAATATCTATTCATGTTAGTCTATTACAGACTCTCATGATATGTCAAATCTACCGGCAGTTCGGAATGATTTCGAGATGAGAAGAACTGACGAGAAACTCAGCTCGAATTCTTTTCAAATTAATATTATACATGTTCACTATTATTGTAACACGGCAATGGTTATTAATATAACAATTTCATCATACCTGCCATCTTCATTGTTTATGACCTTGGAATTCTCTGCATATATTGTTCCGTAACTAAATACATTTATGGAACAACTACCCGATATCGCGGGGTTGCTTGTGCATTCGCCGATTTGCGCAAATATTTCGAATGTGACATGATTTGTGGCGGTTTAGCGGACCGTTGTACTTCCGATGGTCGCGGGTTCGATTTCTGGCACGGTACAAACATTCGTATTCATGAGTATGACTGTTTATATCGGTCTGGGTGTTTCTATGTATATATTTACAAAAAAATATCAAAGTATTTATATAAGTTATCTAGTACCCATAACAGAAACTCTGCTTATCCTGGGACTAGATGGCGCTAATTGTATTGGGTTCTTTATTTTTTATTTATTAATTTATAATCTATATTGATAATTTTTATATAGTTATTTTATACATCGCGATCGCGAAACAAAACTGCAGCAGTGGCAGATGGAGTACATGATGGCCGGGTTCAGCCTGCAGCCGCTCGCCTTGTTCGTGGCGCCTGCCGACCAGTTCTACTGCAACGGATGCGGCGGCGTGCGCGACCACTTTGACATGTGCGATGAATTAATGAGAATTCATTCAGTCATCATTTAAGAGTAATGCTCTTGTCGGTGGAGCTGGATGCCGCAATCTTTCATCATGCTCTTTAAATGTTGAGACGACTACAAATTTGTCTTTAATTTGCTTTATGCAGCTGTGCCTTGGGCTTCCCTTTCCCCCCTCTTTCTATATATTTTCCCTTCAATAATAATTTTTATAAACTCACGGTGAGTAGTGGCCCCAACATTTTTCCTCGTCTATTTTCAATATTTACCTTTCATGCCATCAATCTGCCGTGAAGTATTCAATATTTGCCCTTTTTCTTTCATCCTGAGTACTTCTTCGTTTCTTACTTTATCTTTCCATCCTTCTCCGTCACCACATTTCAAAAGCTTCCAGTTTGTCTCTTTCTTGTGGAGTTAATGTCCACGTATCACACGCATAGAAACCTATACTCTAGATATAGGTACTTTATAAATCGTTTCCTTTATATCTTAGATCTTTGGTATCTTAGGAAATAATTTATTAAATGTTTTTTTTGTCGTGGCCATTCTTGTTGCAATTTCCGTGATACATCCGACGTCGCTGGTGAAGAAAATGCCTAAACGTGCTTTATTTTGTCTAAAATTGTATTGATCTCTCTGTATGTGGTCTGATTCAATGTTGAATTATGTTTAAAAGTATTTTTCAGATATGTGATAACGAACTGAGGTATCTATGTATGTTCTTCGTATTTTAATGTTTTTGTCTATATTGGGAGTGTTATCGTCTTATTTAGTGAAAACTCTTTTGGAATATTACCTGTTTACCGTTACCATATTACGTTATTGGTTTTGTACTTAATCATTTCAGTAAAAATACCATCATTACCAAATGCATTACTATTTCGAATAATATTTAAAGTCTTGTGCAATTGTTCTCTTAATATTGGTGGTGGAAGATTATCGTCATATTTATTGTATTTATATGTAAGGAGCACTTGTATAAGATGATGACTTAGGCTTTGAAGCCGGCTACCGCAAGGGAAACCCCTAGTAGCGCCCGTGACCTGTGACACGGGCGTAGGTTTAAAGAGCTCTTTTAGAATGCATTAACACTCGCCTTCACTACTTGCAGCTTCCCCCCAGGCCCAACTAAGACCGGGATGAACCTATTCCTAATACAATTCACTTTAGTATCTAAAACACAACCGGCACGCTCTGCACTCGTCGACTGAATGCCGCGGCTCACCCAACCAAAGAGGATTATTCAACTACCGACCTCCGTATTTATAGACCGAAGTTAGTGTAGTAGGGAGAGAAGCGGATGTAACGGTTATCTTCTGACAAACAACGTGGTTCGGTCTATAAAAACTAGATGGCGCTATTTACCAAATAGATCATATTAGATACTCAATTATATTCATAATCTTGCATATATTTTCTATATCCTCATCAGAAGAACTTTGGTCACAGTATAGATTTTCTGTATATTTTGTCAATCACAAATTAAAATTCAAAATAATAATAATCTCAGGACAATTCACACAGCGCCATCTAGATCCAAGTTAAGCTAAAGCTTGTGCTGTGGATACTAAATAACTGATACAAATACATAGATATATTTTTTTCGTAAATATATACATATTATACATAGAAAACACCCAGACCGATACAAACAATGATACTCATGAGTAGAAAATGTTTGTGCCATCATGATCTATCCTACATCTTCTCCTAAAACTTTGCAATATTGATTTCTATTGCCTTTATATGTAGTGATGTCGAATTTAATTATTATTCTGTTATATATTTAATGGCTCGGGTTTGTTTTATAAATTGTTTGTACGTATATGCCTTGGTTTTCCTATAAAAAATGATTACGTAAATAAGTCTGGACTATTCACACTCCCTCATCTAGTTACAACATAGAAGCAGAGGATGTGTTATACGTACTAACCAACTAAAAGAAACATTTAATTTTCTTTTAAGTACATAATAAAAAATGTACATAGAAACATTCAGACCGATACAAGCAATCTCATAAATACAAATGTTTCGTGAGAGGAATCGAATCCGCGACCACCGGAACTGGCTGCGTGTCAACCCGCTCCACCACCGAGGTTGCACAATATATGTTGGAATGGTGGCATGGCGCGTCGCGTGGTGGGTGCGGCGCGTGTGACGAGTGCGTGGTGTGCGCAGGGCCCGGTGCAGAGGCGAGCGGAACGCAGCAGGCAGGCGGCGGAGCGCGACGGCAGGCGGCAGGTGCGCGGGGGGCGGCGGGCGCGCGGGGGGCACCACCGGCGACAAGACGGACGGCGGGCGGCAGCCGGGGCCCGCGCTGCGCGCCTCGGGGCGGAGCAACGTCCCCCCGCGGCGACGCTGGGTCCCACCCTCCTCGCTGCGACACCACGAGGTGCCCGACGGCGATGCCAAGCACGACGTCATATTCCGGAAGGTCGGTAGCGTCCCACCCGTCCCGACCCCTCCCTCCCTCGCTCGTCGGCCGCCGGTCTCACCGTCGATCCGCTCGTTGCAGGTGCGCGGTATCCTCAACAAGCTCACTCCGGAGAAGTTCCAGAAGCTGAGCGATGACCTCCTCGGACTGGAACTCGACTCGGACAAGGTGCTCAAGGGCGTCATCCTTCTCATATTCGAGAAGGCCCTCGACGAGCCCAAGTACTCGTCGATGTACGCTCAGCTGTGCAAGCGACTGAGCGAGGAGGCTCCCAATTTCGAGCCGCCCGGAGCGCCTTGCACCTTCAAGTTGCTCCTTCTTAATAAATGTCGAACCGAATTCGAGAACCGAGCGCAGGTAAAAATGAGAATAGAAATCGATTAAGTGGCTACTGTGAATATTTTTATTACGAAATGTTTCACGTCTATTACGTCGTGTCGACAGGCGTTCGCCGCGTTCGAGGACAAAGCGTTGTCCCCCGACGAGGAAGAGAAGAGACATCTCGCCAAGTGCAAGATGTTAGGTAATATAAAGTTCATCGGTGAACTCGGCAAGCTGGAGATCCTGGCCGAGTCGATCCTGCACCGTTGCATCCAGAATCTCCTGGGACGGCGCGCGGCCGTCGAGCACCACGAGGACCTGGAGTGCCTCGCGCAGCTGGTGCGCACGTGCGGCCGCGTGCTGGACTCGGAGCGCGGCCGCGGCCTCATGGACCAGTACTTCTCGCGCATAGACACGCTGTCCTCGTCCAAGGAGCTGGCGCCGCGCATCCGCTTCATGCTTCGCGACGTGGTGAGTACCGTGGTGAGCGGTAGGTCGGGTCGCGAGCCCCGCCGGGCGGGCCGGGGGGCCGGGCGCGGGGCTCGCTGACCGCGCGGCTGCGCAGGTGGAGCTGCGGCGCGGCGGGTGGGTGCCGCGCGCGGCGGTGTCTGCGGAGGGCCCGGTGCCCATGCACCAGCTGCGCGGCGACGACGAGCCGCCCGCGCGCCGCGACCGCGACCGCGACCGCGAGCAGCGCGCGCGCGAGCCCATGTTCGGCCGCCCGCGCCACATCGAGGACGTGCTGGCCGGCCTCAGCCTGCAGCCGGCCTCCTTCGTCACGCCCGGCGACAAGTTCTTCGGCAACGGCTACGGCGGCGGCGGCCGCGAACAGTACCGTAATTCGCGGTCGGGGCCCTTCCTGCGGCAGGCCGGCCAGCACTACGGCAAGCAGCAGGGCTCCGCGCAGGGCAAGGAGCCCGGCGGCGGCCGCGCCAGCAAGGCGCGCGTGTACGCGGTGGGCTCGGGCGCGCTGCAGGACGTGCAGATGAGGCCGGCCGCCAACTCGCTCATGTTCACCGCCAACCGCATCTCGCGCCCGCCGCCGCCGCTCCCCACCGTGCAGCAGAGTGAGTGCCGCCAATTTTTTTATTTAAACCCATCAAATTGACAACCAATCATTGTTTTTTTTTTTTCTTACGGGCTACAGGTGTAGTAGCCCAAAAATTAAAAATTTTTTAGACAATTATGTAGTGTCAATTGAAGTGATATACAGAAGGCATTTGATTTCCAATACAGATTTATATACTCAATAACTTTTCTAAGCTTTTGACACCGATTAGTTTTTCTTTCATTTTTAATTAGTTTTTTCGAGGTTTCTACGAAATAATAAGATGTATCATCAACACACTTGCAGATGTCTTGACACCAGCATTCGCGAGCACGCCTTCGCTACTGAAAGAAACCGCCATCACTATTAAACCTGCCCCTGACAAGAAGGACAAACCCAAAAAAGACAAGGTGAGCATACAACGACTGACTTTAAATTTGTTCGTTTGTTGTTGTTTGTGGGTAAAATCATTCTCCGACTTTATTATCCGTTTATAGCTACTTTCAAGATTTCTTAACGTTCCAAAAAGATTGTGTCCAAAGAGATCGAGGAGACTAAGGTTTTCTAAAAGTATCTACAATATTTTTTTCGTAATGAATATTGTCGTGTCAGTCGCGTAGAGTATCTCGGGACATAGGTACCGAGGTACCCGCGCTGGATGCGTACGTGACGCGTGTGGCGCGCGCTCGTTCCTCGTCGGCAGGGCGTCAACAAGGACGAGGCCTGCCGGCTGGTGGTGGAGGCGGTGCAGGCGCTGGCGGAGGCGGGGCCGCAGCCGGACCCGGACGCGGAGGAGACGGCGAGCGCGCGCGAGCACCTGCAGCGGCTGCAGCAGCTGCAGCTGCCCGACAAGCTGCTGCGGCGCGCCATCGGCGCCGCGCTGGAGCACGCGCTGCAGGCGCGCGCGGCCGACGAGGCGGCGGCGGAGGCGCTGTGCGCGGCGGCGGCGCGCGTGGTGGCGGCCGTGAAGAGGTCGCCCCAGGCGGACGCGCTGCGGGCGCTGCTGGCCGCGCCGCCGCAGCCGCACCCGCGCCTGCCCGCGCTGCTGGCCCACGCCGTGCGCCACAAGCTGCTGCCGCTGGCCGACGTGGGCGCCTGGTGCGAGGGCGGCCAGCACCACCCGCTGCTGCTGCAGCTGCTGCAGCGGCTGCGCGACCTGGTCGGCGCCGAGCGCCTGCAGCGCCTCTACGACGAGAGCAAGATCAACCTGTGCGCGTACGTGACGGAGCACGAGGGCGCGGGCGCGGCGGCGGCGGCGCTGGCCGCGCTGGAGGCCCGCGGGCTGGCCGCGCTGGTGCCGCAGCTGCGCGTGCAGGCGCTGCTGGCCCGCCAGCTCGCCGCCGAGCCCGCGCCGCAGGCCCTCTACCGCTGGATCAAGGTGCCGTAATACATCCCACCATCATATACCCCGCCCGTGCGAAATGTGCTAAACTCAACGTTTTCGGATGTCTAATTAAACTCGATGAAATTTTATACATCGAATGAGGCAACTAAGTAGTCTGATATGACCAGTTAAATTATTTTAAAACAAATTTGTTATAATATTACTTTAAGGTAAAAAATTGAATTTAGACTTTTTCTAGTCTCGTTTTAATATGAACGATTCAAGATAATATAAAAATATGTCTGCCCTTACATTAATTGTTATAATCATGTAAGCCGAGTAAAGCAAACCCCAAATATTTACGACAAAATTTCGAATGTATTGTAATTATAATTTTTAAGTATTGCTATCGCACTTGTATTCGTTGTATCGTATTTATCTCTCTCGATGTTTCGATTAGGTTGCACTATACAGAATTACTATTAGGTACATGTTATTTCTGTAATATCGGCTAGTTAACAAAAACTCCACGTCTTAACTGCAAGGCCTGTACACTAGAACTTTACCATCTTACGTGTCTTGGACTGTGTTCGCTCGGCGCAAGACGACAGTTGACTTAAACCTCTACTACTAGTTTTACAGATACACTACAATATTAATAGTGAGTGCTAAACGCGAAAGTTTATTGAATTAAAAAAATATGAAATGATTGCTCGTCACGCATCTGTAATGTGTATATATGCGCGGCCGCAGGCGAACGTGGAGCCGGCGGTGCGCGCTAACGCAGCGTTCGTATCGACGCTGGTGGCGCTGGTGGCCGGACACGTGACGGCGGAGGCGGGCGCGGACGGCGCGGGAGGGGGCGGCGGCGGCGGCGGCGGGGGAGGGGGAGGGGGCGCGGACGGCGCCGACAAGGCGGCGCTGGAGCGAGAGAAGGCGCTGCTGGAGACGTACGCGCCGCTGCTGACGGCGCTGCTGGGCGGCCGGCCCGAGCTGCAGCTGGCCGCAGTGTACGCCGTGCAGGTGCACGCGCACCACCACCGCTACCCCAAAGGTACCAACACCACCCGCCTACACACGTCACCACACACGCACTGTTTACGATTACATTATTATACAAACGGATGTTTCCCCGCCCTGTGGAAACTAGCACATATCACCCCAATATACAAAAAGGAAGATCTAAACGATATTAGTAACTACAGGCCAATTTCAATACTCTCAGCCATACCTAAACTTTTCGAATCCCTCATCCAGAAAACAATATACTTTCACCTTAAACACACCATAGATCCCCATCAACACGGTTTTCTGCCAAGAAAATCTACAACAACCAATTTACTAAGTTACACAAACGATATTTTACTTGCGCTTGAGGAGGGTTATGAGGTACATGCTATATATAGATTTACACTGACTTTAGCAAAGCTTTCGATGTCGTGAAACACGATATACTCATTAATAAATTAGAACACGCTGGTATCTGTGGGTCTTTGTTGAGGTGGTGCGATTCCTACAACTACATTATTGCAAGGTGCTTGGAAAAACCTTTTTAAATTTTGTGACTGTTTGCTTATACATACTCTTTTTAGAAAAGTATTAACTACATATATAGAATGTTGGTCTTACTGACGTATTCTTTTATTTATTTAACCACCGAAAGCTTGTTTCAGAGAAAAACAATTAATAGATTTTTATCAACTTTGTAAAATTAAAATTGAAATTCTTTAGCCAACAAAAAAACAAAGAGGTAAGATTGTTAAAGTAGGTAGGTACAAACTTAACATGTTGAAGACCGCATTGAAATGTCTTACTTTTCACATAGGGACCGCCATTTTTTTTATGGTTAATTACATATATTATTTTTTTAATATTTTAGTGTACAATAATTTGAGGTAGATATTATTGAGTGACCCACCGGTGGGCATGCGGTCTCAAGAATTTGTACACATGTTTTTGGAGGTATTAGAATTAACATAGGATACTTTTTATTTAAAAAAACTAATATTTTTATTAACAACTCAGCAGAACAGCGCCATCTAGCAGCTAGTAACGAAGTAGAACGAGCGAAACCTCCGTTAAAAGCTTGTTGTAAATAATTTGATGTGTTATACCTAATATTTAGTGTGATACACAAGTATTTAGTAAACTTTCTTTGTATATAATATATAGGCGGGATGGGCCCTCGACTTCGCGCGGGTGTATATGTAATATACATAAGTTTATTCTTGAAACACTCTATTGCTAAAAAAATCATTAAAATCCGTTGCGTACAGACAGCGACTTCATTTTATATAGTATAAAGTAAAGATAATGAGTAGGTGTATTGATATGTCGGTGGTGTGTGGTGTGTGGTGTGCAGGGATGCTGCTGCGCTGGTTCATGTACCTGTACAACCTGGAGGTGTGCGAGGAGGACGCGTTCCTGCGGTGGCGCGAGGACGTCACCGACGCGTACCCCGGCAAAGGGGAGGCGCTCTTCCAGGTGAGTTGGACATCACGCCACGTGCGACCCGCTGTGGTGACGTAGTGACGTGACGTGAGGCAATAACGGTGGTGTGGTGTGCAGGTGAACACGTGGCTGACGTGGCTGCAGCAGCAGGAGTCGGAGGACGAGGAGGCGGAGGACTAGCCGGCGGCGGATGGCCGCGCACTCGCCCTCGTCCGCACGGACGGCCGCCGACGGGCCGCACCGCTTTTATTTCGCGCTCATCTCATTTTATAAATATAATTAAGCCAAATAGTTAAAATTACCTACCTTCGCCGTTTAACTCTAGACCCGCCGCGACCTCCGCGACAGAGGCTCCAGGGTTAAATAGGTCAATTTTTAGGTTATACTACGTAAACGAATATTAGTATCTCGAAATAATTTTTTGTAGGCCTTTTACTCGATTTTGATACTTTTACAAATGTATACAATGTATAGTGTTCGTTTGGACGTATGATTGCACCCCGATCTGCCCCTCCCCACAGTGAGCGTGTTTTAGTTAAAATTGTAAAATATATATATATATACACACAATATATATATATATAGATATATATATATGAAGAACTTAAATCAATTTTTTATTAATATCATGATCATTTATTTTCAATGCTAAATGGACTTAGTGATAAACTGTAAGAATGCTTCGATTTCATTATATTATCAAAGTTTAGAATTTTATAACTAGGTAAATGAAAAACTAAAAAAAAAAAAGAAACATATGATTTCCTCGGGCGTAAGAAATGTATGTTGAGTGAATTGTAATAAAGTTATGAAGTGATGCCACATTAATTAAGCAACAATGATCAATATGTATTCAGGAGGTGAAATAAAGTTCAGTGTAATTTATTACAAAGACTAGTTTTATTTTTTATATGTCCAGAGAGAACGGACATATCTATGGCCTCTTGCTTTATTTTTTAACATAATTTGCGTGACCAAAAAGAAACTGCTATTTATTATTAATGTATGATAATGATATGGTGCATTCATCAATACTATATGCTGGCATACCATCATTCTCTGTTGGCCCCAAATGATAGGATGACCAGGAAGGCAGGCCAGTTATCCCACCTTGGTAAATTCAGCTGTAATAAAATTTTTTGGTAACCATTTGGTAGTTTACATGACAATATACAATGCCATGGAGCCAATGCCAATAACCAATGGACGTTAAGGGAATTGTTGGTAATAAGGTCCAGGTGTCCACATTGCTGGCCATGTGCCATGTTAGCCGAACTCCACATGGTTCCCCCTGGAAATCATCGTGGTTAATTCCTTTTTAGTTTAATTATGGTAGGCAAACTGACCTGACTGTTTTTGCCCCTTAGACCAAGATGGTATATATATCTTATAGCAGCTATGGCTGCCTCCTGCTGTATGTATAAATCGAGGGGTGTTAGGAGAGGGCGGGCTATTTCAATTGCTGTTGATGTATGAAAACTACTCGTTTTCATACATCCAGTGACTGAAGAACATGCAAGTCTCTGAAAGGACCTTCGTTTGTTGATTGTGGTCGCGAGTTTCGACCTTGTCCACCAAACCAAGGCCCCATAGACGAGTATTGGTCTTATCACTGCTGTATATAGCCAGATAGATAAATAGATAATGGGCCCCCTTATGCCCATTACTTCTGCAGCCCCAATTTTACAAAGGTGATCTAACCATTGAAGGATCAGTGAGGACATTCAAATAATGGTTTGTAAAATGGATAAAAAAGAGTTAGCTAAGGTAGGTTTACTATTTTTAAAAGTACGAGGGTTTTGTGCAACAGTGAATTATTTATACACTGGCCTGCAATCAACTTAAACATCTGCAGAGGTGGTTAAAGAACATGTCTACCTACTCATACACAATTTCCAATTAGTCCACAAAAGTATATATAATTAATTATGATAACTCAACATGGAACAGTATCGAAATATGATGTTATATCAAATACTTTAAGTCACATTATGTCTGGAAATTAGTTTAGCTATATTTGCGGTTTGAGGTCTAATATATGGATTGTAAGTGCTTTTATTCTTACACAATTTAGAGATTTCAGTATATATATACAAATAATATTTTCTAATCATCCTGACATTCAACACATAAAACTTTCAGGATTACATGTTTAGAAATTAAAACAGAGTATTCAGTATTTTTTCATATAACAACCTTTATTTTCAAATAATCATCTAACTTAATAACAATAACTTTCTTTGAAATAATTATATTTAACACATGCCCACTCTTCAGATTTCAATGAAGCATTTCATACACTGAAACCACTCTGTTCCAAAATAAATGGAGCTGGAAAAGAAAAAAGTTCCATTATAGTACTATTCACTTGCAAATACCAGACATTTTTAAAATTAAATTCATTTACCTTGCAAATAATAAAGTATAAAACAAACTTGACAACTCATAAACCACTTGGATTTCACAAGCAGTTGGTAGATATTACTGCTTTTACTGTTTTCACCACATGCAAAGTGAATCCCACTACAGTGAAATTAATAAGTAGAGTACAGAGCAACATATGTGATGGCTGACATCACTTTATTATATAGCACACAGAGAAAAATATCAACCTTGGTAATTTCTTTCAATATCTAGTGGTATTTATGGTATTTTTATCATGGCCGACATTATTGTGAAGACTAAATGGTACTCTGTACCATAAATTATATAGATTATTAATATAGTAAACTCATGGATAATTCTGTTAACATATTCTTTTAGAGAATGTTTACAGTGAGTCGATATTACATTCGTTGCAACCAAGAAATTTATTACAAGTTGCATAATTCAATTTATTTTTATACAAACTAAGAATATGTCTGTACTGTGATGTTCATTTTGATTATTCTATTCTATATTAATTAATTAATTTTATAACGTTTGGAGAAATAGGTTATGTCATGTCCCTATGCAAAGAAACGAATTGTAAGTGTATTACAATCACAAGAATAATTGTAATCATATTAATAGTAGTTTTACATCTTTTATTATAATATTTTATTGTCAATAAACATTAGATTTAAGCATAAAACTAACCAGCTCTTATAGCAGCACAAAGAACACAAAACGTGATCACACTATTTATTGTGTTCTCTCTTGCTTGGCGTTTCTCTTCCATAGGATCTACCCTTTCTCCAAAAGGTAAACGAAACATATTCGAGCCTGAGAACTGTAAATTTAGTGGAAAACAAAAATATATATATAATGCAGTACAATTAAATACTACAAAGTGTAAATAGAATCGAACGACGGATGGGTCTGATGACAGTGACAGATAGATAATTTTATTACAGATTTTACTGACCACAGATTACAATGAAGTGACTGTAGTGTGATAGTGTAATAATACCTTAATAGCCAGTTGTCACTATGAACATTTGAGTATAGCCTCATTTTCGTGAATCCGTCCTAAGTATATATTTGTCAACACATTTTGAAAAAAAAAACTGTATCATTAAATTTCTAATCAATTGAATGAAATATTTTTATAAATTAGCAATACGTCTCGAATGTAATAATCCTTAAATACAAAACGTAATCTGTACGTATGGCATTGATTCTTCTAAAATTATTTGACATAAACCGACATAGTGCCCATCTATCCTTTTCTAAAACTAAAAATAAATTCTTGAGTTGCGCAACATGGCGAACTCACCTCAGCTGCTAGTGAAATTTTCTATGTAATAGTTTTGTGACTGTGACACGCTCTACTTAACTTTAGATTCTACCTTGTTCAATTCAATAAATGTACAGTTAGGTTTACCAAGACCTATTGTGATGGGTCAGTTGGCAGTACTTCTATCCATCTAAAACAAACAGTGTTTGGATTATAATTAATCACGTAAGAAAAGTTGTTTTTTGTTTGAAAACAAGGAAAAGAAATCCATCAAGCTGGAGCGGCTACCCGAGTACCTGCGCGACACCGTCGACTGGTTCATGGGGTGAGTCTCCGTTCACTATTCCCATTGTTTCACAAATTGTATTCACACACCAACCTTTATATTATATTTGTCACAACACAACACAAACATGTTTTCTGTATATTGTCCTATACATTCAACGCAGTGCAATTTATTTAATATATTGGTTATAATAATTAAACATTTTCCTTTTGACTGGCTATGTCTTTAGTTGAAGTAAAATAATATTTATAATATTTAAAGTTTATCAGTGCCCATTTACTATTTAATATATATATTCACTTTAATAATTAGTATTCCTATTTCCTACTCCTGTCATGATGATAATGAAGTCTTCATTGTAACATTATCAATGTTATGAGTCTATATTTCAATAGTATCCCTATTTGTAAAGTGTTAAAGTGTTAGAGTTGATACAATATATAAATTACAGGACACATGCATGTAGGATAAAATCTAAATTATATACTATTTGAATAGAATACATAATTATTTATTCAAATAAACTTAATTTAAGCATTTTTGAATAGTCATATTTATTCTTTTAATCATTCGTAAAGCTGTCTCATCACAAGAAGAATGAGCAAGAACCTTGCGTGTTGCTCTTTTAAATAATCATGTATCTTTACATTTCCAATTAAACATGCAAAAACAAACCACAAACTAGCACTAATGTCACTTGTATACACCTACACACTCACAATTTTATAACCGAATAAATATAAAGCTGAAGTAGCTTTATACTTATTTGGTTATAAAATTGTTAATACTTAACCTTGGCACCCGTCATTCATATATAATCTTTAATACATTATACACAACAATTTTCATATTGTAACAACATCATTCAGGTTATGGTTTAAGTTAAGAAGAATGGATATAGACCTCAACAACTTTTCTATTCAATCTCGTCGGTTAACATATTGGGTCACTTAATTTTGAGTATATGACTACCTTGCTTGTGACTTAATAAAAATCTCGTATGACCACAAGTAAACATTTGTGTGCCTTAAATAATTGTGTAATATAAAAAAACTCTGTAAATATTTCACATTAAATTTTATTATATATATATAAACAATAAAGGTTCAAGGTAATATTTACTTTAATTTTATTAAATTGTCATATGTTTTAATAAATATAATTATAACTTATAACCTGTCCCGGCCTCCAATGCATCTGGCATTACAAATCTTAGAATTATATACTATCACATGCATGTTAGCATATGTATTATACATAAAACCTTCCTCTTGAATCACTCTATCTATTGCTGAAAACTGTATTAAAATCTGTTGCATAATTTAAAAGATATAAGTGAACAGACAGCAGCAAAAGTTTTGTTTATACAGTCTTTGCATAACACAGACATGAGTTGAGGTGACTCCGAAATTTATCTTACATTATTTAGTTTGATTTGGATATTTACTATTATACTATTACTTGTACATTATACCAATTTCTATTAACTAACTAACCATTACTACTATGGAATTGAATAATAATAAAAAGTCCAATTAAGTGGGAGCATGGACTGTATTTTTATAATAAGTACAGCTTTAATGTAAAAGAAAAGTAGGTATATGTTGTAATAGTTTTGATAAGTTTGTTAATTGTGGCTTATAAAAATAACATTTGTACTCAACTTCTGATAGAAATATATGAAATGCATGTGCTTGTCAGGATTTTTGGACTATCATCCATATGGAGACATTGAAAAAGCTGTGTTGAATGAATATGCGAGGTCATTTTGCCTGCACGCTCACGATCGATATTTTACGCACGTTCAGCGCGGTAATCATCTTGTAATTTTAACGACAAATGGTTATGATTAAGGAGAACATTCTGCAGTTTTTATTTATATCGGGTGTTATGTGGTCTCCAAGGTTCTACATAATTATATCGCTGTAGCTCTCCACAGTACATGTGGTAGCGGCGGAACCGGCTGCGAAGCCTACGGCAGCATACGAGGTGAGGAGAGAATGGAGAGCGGCCTCGAGGTACTTAGTAGGCTGCAGGCTGGCACCGGGCGGCGGGCGGCGGGAGCCTAGCGCACGGCAAGCACCGAGCTCAGGTGCGAGATGATAAGAAGTGATGTCACCACGCGCGGGTGACGGTCGGCGGCTCGCCCGCCGCTTCGTCTCGGCTCTCTCCAATGCTTGCTTTCAGTTGGCCGCGGTGCGCAAACGTGAGCGCTGTTTTTTTGTGATAGCCGCGTCGCATGTTCGCCACGGCGCCACTCGCGACCGACTGCCGTAGCGATCGCCGCGCAAGTGTTGAGGATCTTGGCGGTCACGAGACCGAGGAGCGGTGCAGTGTCGTGCATGTTCGTGAAGGCTTGGATACGCAGGATGAGCGCAGGCGGCGGCGGCGAGGAGAGCCCCACTCGCCGCTGGCCGGTTGGCATCTTGAGACGCAGCGGAGCGCGCGCCGCCCGACGCATGTTGCACGTGAAGTACCGCAGCGTGCCGCCCACTCCCCTGCCGCTGGACATCGACGACACCGTTTCTTGCTTTTGCAGGTGCGTCCAGCGTCTCTCTGCATTGGCAAAACACTACACCAGATCAGAGCAATTGGCTGATGTGCTCATGTTTCTCTTTCTTCTTATGTTTAAGAGGATGTTAAATAATATCGTACGGAGTATTAACGAACGAAATAATTTCATATTGTACGTAAATATTTGCTTCGTTTACTTCTTCAGTCACTAAGTAGTAATTATTGGCATTTCATTAACTTTAATTATACGGTTGCTACGCCGCGTCGTGTGCTAAGTGGATGCAGATCATTCTGTCAGCATTAAGTGCGTACGAGCTGGCGGTGAGACGGAACATGTGCTACCACTCCTAGGCGAAATCTAAGATATCCCTTACCAAAGAGCACCGCTGATCTCTAACTATTGTATGTGCAGAGTAGGTACTTGCGAGGTGGTAAATGGTGCGTTTGCGAGGGATGGTTTGATGTATGGTTAGTGTATGGCGACTTGAGTGCTATGTGGGTACCACGGTATGAAGCGAGCGAGCTCGGGTGTCAGCTGAGCGTGTTGTCGCGCGGCGTTGGCGCGGCTGTACCTCGTTATCACTACACCTGTGTGACGTCACGCGGCGAGCGCCCCCTTTGTTCTATTGTCACATAATATTATTAATAGTGGGCACCGAGGCCGGCTTTCTCACACCACCTACCGCATCGTGCACGACTGTCTTCGTGCTATCGAGCGAAACGGGTTAACTGCGGCGGCCATTCATACTGTTATTTACCACTTCACCGAATGTATTAGGTGCTGATAGTTTATAATTATATGAAAAAAATATCAATATTCTACACAGATTGTGAGGTAGCTTTAAACCATCGATCTCGGTGTATTTTGATGTTGAAATATTTGTATGTAATGTTTTGCAGAGGGCACCGCTTGGAGGTCAACCCGACGTTATACATTACAATAGGGTAACTGTTCCCTAGTACTCCCCCTCCTCCTGACAGTTTAATTGCACAAGTTAAATATATAAATCTGTCAGTGGTCTACATAGTACAAGCTCTATTTGGATCAGGACGACATAGATGGCGCTGTGTTATTTACGTGAACCACGACCATGGTTATTTGTTTGATTCATACTCGTGAACGGGTGCTCTTTGTGGGGATTAGTCTGTTTGGGTTACGAACGCTGATTAGACCATTTGCTTTTGCATATGCTGGTGGTCACTATTCTCCAAAATTTTGAATTGAAAAATGAATCTGTATAATTGTAAACATGTACAACATTTATTTGAAAAGAATACGAGCTGAGTTTCCTGTCAATTGTTTCTTGTTAGTTCTCATCTCGAACTGACCGTAGATTTGACATGTCATAAGAGTGTAATAGACCTACATGAATAGAGATATTTTGAAATTGAATTGCTTAAGTATTGAGAGTGTACGCTGTACATTGTGGGCATGTTAATTGTATTATTATATGACTTTTCCTATAACTGTATCTAATCAACGGTAGCCGACAGCCAACCAAGCCGTAGTGGCGTGGCGCGTTTTGATGGTATTTTCCGTGTTAGTGTAGGTACCAGCGGTGAGCAGTGTACGCATGGGTACGCCCGGTGCCTGTGTTGCCATGTCACAAAGCTATCATTTCCGCTACGTGATATTATTATGAGATCATGTATTCTTATCTGCAAGAACATTACTTATAGCTTCAACTGGAGTGCGTTATCTACATGTACTAATATTATAAATGTAAAGATTGTTCTATCTATATTTATTATTATAAAGGTGTCGTAAACGATGACGTCACAAGCGAAGCACAATACACCAGTACTAAAGGAAAAAACCTTATTACCTTTAACATCCTTTTACCATCGCACCGCTCGCCATCGACAGGGAACTCCACACGCTGGAACCTAAGTGATCTCGGGCAGTGCGGTTTCAGAGGAGCTTTCTCCCGCATACACTTAGATTGTGGAATTAAATACCTGCCGAGGTTTTCTCGAGAGACGACATCATGGGGTTTTTTAAGAAGAAATAACCTTAATATATTAAGGTTTCTTAAGGGTCGGTAACGCGAACGTGATAGACCTGGTGTTTCAAGTGTCCATAACATACGGTAATCGTTTACCATGGATGTTAGGGAACTTCGTAACCGTAACCGAATCAGTAATAAAAGTTTCGTATAATATCGGATAGAGGCGGAGCCTAATACAGATATATGTAACCATTTTATTAACTATTTGTATTTTACTATTGAAATTTCTTAAATAATTAATAGCCGTAACGATCCGATGGTAATGTTTCCATGGGGAACCATGGGTGAGCGTGGAGGTCAACCTGATACGGTACATTGCTAGCAATCAGGTCCCCGTTTCCTGATCGAATGAATATATTGTATCGCCAGCGTTTAATTGCAGCTTATTTTTTTTTGACATTATAAAATAGATAATAACTTGAAAACTAGAACGCGTCTCGTACAGACGCTGCCTAGCATCTAATATTATGTAATATATTACGCAACAGTGTCCTGATTCTGTGCAGATTATCTACAGACATATACAAAAAGTAAACAAATCTGCCGTTCTCACTATCATTCCAATTAACATTAGCTTCACACTTTCACCGAACACAAACGTCGTTGGGATGTCGCGAATTACTTACTACACCCCTACCAATTAGTCACCAAAGGTCATTTCCACGCCAAATATCTTTAGTGTTTAACCGACTCAATAAAAGCAGGATGGGTCTCTCAATTGTGGTATATTTTGTCAAATTTTATTACTTCACAGCTCAGTCATTTATAAACTTATTTGAAAAATACTTTTTTTTTTATTTGAAAGAGTATATATTGGTCTCCTTTTTGGAGAGTTTCTTTTTTTGTCGTAAATCCGTGGAGGCTTATATCAAGCTTTCAGTGACTTACTAAACGCATTAATTGAGGAGTTTGGGGTAGTCTTATATGGAGATAGGCCGGTTAAGCGCTTGTAGATTTGATCATCTGATCAAATCTACATTGCATATTTCAAGCCACATTTTATAAATATGAATTTCTTCTTTCGTTTCAATGGTAACTAAATATATTTTCCCCAGAATGTTGCGACGACTTTTGCGCATTCTGTCGCATTTTTTAGATCTTCCTTTGTTACCTTCCAGAATATTGGACACAAAGGACAGGTCAATAGATGGGCCATAGTCTGGGATGGCGCTCCTCAGTCGCAAGCCTCCCTTGAAACGACATCCCATTTTACCAAGTTGTACCTGCAGCGGACCATCTGGGTTCGGAGTCTGTTAAGCGATTTCCAAGTGGGCCATTGCAGGTCGCTACCTGGGGACAGGTGTTTGTGTTCGTGTTATAAATGTGAATATTATATATATTATAGAATATGTGAAGGTAATTAAATTGTGTTCTGTTCGTAAAACAGGAAGTTATTAAAAGAGCGATAAATTGTTGTTCACAGAATAATATTATAGAACTATTTTAATATATTTAACTCTAATTAATTAGTGCTACTTGATAGTTTGTATTCAATATTTTGACTTAAAAATGTAAAGTTACAAAAATTATTTACAAGAGTAATAAATTTATTTATTACTCTTGTAAATAATTTTTTAGCTGCACCCGTGACTTCGGCCGCGTGTAATATAACTTTATTTTTCTAAAATAAAAGTAGCCTAAGTTACTCCTTATTACATTAGCTACCTATCAATAAAAGTGTCGTCAAAATCGGTCCAGCCATTTCAGAGATTAGCCGGACAAACAGACAAAAATTGTAAAAAAATGTTATGTTGGTGTATGTACCGTATTTGTATTCATAATTTCATATGCATGTAGTAAAAAACGGTTATTTCAATATTACAAACAGACACTCCAATTTTATTTATATGTATAGATTGGCAACGGTGTCTCAGTGTATTGTGTGACATGCACGGTGTACCGTCCGGGAGTTACTGTTGCCGTTCTCTGGCGTGGGGTGGACCAGTTCCTATTCCATTGCATGTTGTACAAAATATATATGTTTGACGTTTTTGTTTGCTTGTTTGTTGCAGGTGAGTCGCATGCTCGCTCGCCGCAGTACGTAAGTGATCTTAGCATTACCTCACAATCACTATAATTATCACCTCAAGGCTCACACACACAGACACATAAACATACACACACATCTTAATTTTAAACAACAATTGTGACATTTGTATTTGGTTTTGTAATGACTATATTTGAATACACGCAGTGCGATTTACGTACACATAAAATGGAGAAACAACAGTCTGTTAGGATGTAATATAGATTACAGTCTGGATGCAGCATTTGGTACCAGACTTGCTATAAGACGGTATACATTGTGTTTTTTTTTATGGATGATAATGAAAGGAAGAAGAAAGGAGGAAGGAAATGAGAAAGGAAAGCCTGCGCTAACGGCCGGCGTACGCTGGCGGGGCACTAGTGGTGGAAATAGAAGAAATAATCTTTATTCAAATAAAGTCAACTCGTGCTTGTAGCACTTTTGAATAGTCAAATCTTGATTCTACCAATCATTCGGAACGCAGATTCATCACAAGAAGATCATCATCATCTGCTTCTTCCTTATCCCATTTATTTGTGGTCATCGTAATATGTTTTTCTCTTCCATTCATCCCTGTTCGCAGTCATCGCGTTATTTACTTCCTTTCTTACCATATCATCTTTCACACAGTCCATCCATCTCTTTTTCGGCATTCCTCTGCCCTTATAACCATCCACATTCATATATAACGCCTTTCTTAAAATATTATCCTCATTCCTACGCATTACATGTTCATACCACGATAGACACGATTACTCTTCAACCTCTCCAACACCAGCGCCACTTTCATGCTTCCTCTAATGTATTAATTCTTTATCTTTCAAGAAGAATGAGCAAGAAAGTTGTGTATTACTCTTTTTAGTAGATTTTTTTATATAAATTATTGCAGTATAACAAGTAAGAGGCATGCGATAATCAACATAGAAATCGCTACGCACTCATTATTAGTGTATGATAAAATGTCGAAAGGAGTCAGGTCAGTTAATCTGT